GTGTGTGTGTGTGCGCGTGTAAAGAAAACACTTTGAGGAGAAACATGCAAGCGTTTGAAAAACTTACCATCGGCACAATAATTGGTGTCGGACCATACCGGACAGGAAAGCCGGTAGAAATAGGGGAGGGGGGGGGACAAACACATGGACAACAGTTCATATTAATCACACTTTTTATGGTGACCCAACACATGACTTCTCCTGACGGCTCACACCAGCTCTGAGACTGATGTAACCATTGCAGGAAGGATTGGGGAGAGCGTAAAACGAGGAGAAACAACCAGGGGCTGTCCTTAACTCCTTCACTTTCACTCCTGTTTTCTAATGACTTAAAATAATAATGCACAGAGCACAGGGGACTAAACTGCTAAAAAAAAAAGAGCATGGCCAAGGTAACGTAATAAAAGAGATTTAGCTACAGGTCGTCCCAAGATGAACCAAAGTGTAAAGGTGTTGAGGATTAAGTTGTGTAAAGTATAAAGATAAGAAACGAAACACCTTCAGGTGGTAGACTGTGAAAGTAAGCACAAAAGAACCAGCCAGTTAACTGCCTCATAAGGAAGGGCGAAAATGAGATAATGACAGGAATGGCCGCAGTTAGGTAAGTCATTAGAGGATAAACGCGCGAGTGAGTAGCTCCAACACTTCAAGGGATGATGGGAGAGCGTAATAGGAAGCACTGGGTATTCCCACAGGCTTAGGGAACATGAGAGACTTGTTATGGTGTATACCATCGGATTAGGCGCGTGAAGGTGAGAGAAGAGGCTGAGAGGGAGCTCGGGGAATTCGAGAGCACTGGCATCTCGGCAGGTACATCTACTTAAACACTAGTCCACCGTAACAACGTGTGTAGGTAGTTTCGTCTGCTCTGACGCTTTCTCCTCTAGGTAGGTCACTTTCCCACATTTTGTTTCAAGCGATGGGATTTCAACTCAACAGTGCCTTCTAGAAACTGTTATGTTGGTCGATATGAGCGGTAGTAAAGGGTATCTACACTGACAGAATACACCGATAATTACTTTATGCATCCCTAAACAGGACCACCAAAAAGCAAAATGTTAACGATAAAGTCTTTGAAACCAATAGAATTAAGGACTCCAACAAAACATTCTTTTAAAGAAAATAATCTGTACTCCACATTTCATCGTGTACATACCGTAAGGCAACGATGAAAAAAATCTCACTATAGGTATTTTTTACAAGATAAATATGAAAAGATAAATAGAGAGTATTTTCGCACGGCTAGATGAACTGACTAACATCAGTAAAAACCTACGTGAAAGCAGAGGCTTACCAAAAACCAACAAAAGTGTAGGTGGACATCCGCCTGCTAACGCAAGCAGGCTACATGAAGGCGAACACAACGTCATTGACAGCAACAAGAAGCTAGCGTGAAGGTAGCCAAATTATAAGTAAGACTGGAGGACATGTCGGGAGTCAGAGATGGCCAGTATACGCTACCAGCAGTCCTTCTTTACAAAAGTTCAAGCAATATGGAAAAAGCTCCAGACATGATTTGAGAACACCAGACACGATAATAAGAGAGTTCAGCAATGGCCCGAAACGTGACAGGCTTCACAAAATTATGGCCCATTACACAAAAAGGAGAACCCCCCCCCAAACCCTCCCCCCTCCCAGCAAACCAAACCACACAAAAGCAAACCAAAACTCAAACACCAAAAACTCCGGTTTTTACAGTAGGGGAAAGGTGAAAGGAAAAAAAAAAGCTACACAGATGTCATGGCGTAAGGAAAACACGTTCCGAATACATGTAGTTCTGACGACGGCTTCAAAGGTTCAAATGCATCTCTCGTTTGTAAGAAATCGCCACGACCAGTACCACAAAAACACTGGGCCCCTGTCGAACCTTATTTAAACAAACGTTAACTAGCATTAGTATGAACATATATTATATATATATATATATATATATATATATATATATATGTATGTGTGTGTGTGTGTGTGTGTGTGTGTATGTATATATATATTATATATATAAGAGAGATAGATAAATAGATAGATAGAGAGAGAGAAAGAGAGAGAAAAAGAGAGAAAGAGAGAGAGAGAGAGAGAGAGAGAGAGAGAGAGAGAGAGAGAGAGAGAGAGAGAGAGAGAGAGAGAGAGAGAGACCCCTCGTTTGAACAGAACTCTTCAAACAAACCATCCAAAGACCCCGAGCACACTAGAAACATTAATTCCACCCGTCGTAGTGCTGCGAATATTATGCAAATGAAATATTTTCATCCGTTTGTGTGTGTTTTACTGCAAGTGACGTCATACTTCGCAGACGAATGAAGTGCAAAATTCTCCTAATGTGTGCCGGGCATAATATACTTCACCAACAAAAACAATCTAGGATAATAGAAGATCATGGATAGTGTGTACAGAGTGTAAATCGCTGTTTCGTGTCCTCTAAATCTTTCTATAACGTAACTGGTGAATGGTGCCCCGTCGTCTTCCAGTTTCTTTGTTTATCTATTTGTCTTTGAAATGGATTCATTTGTCTTTTAAAATATAAATAGCACATGTAATATATCACTTAATATTCTGAAAACTACCAGTATGTGGACCATTGCAATTTTCACTTACGAAAACACTTAGTAAAACCAATTAAAAAAATTATCTATATAGTCAGAGTATACCATTCTCAAAAATTCTAAACATTGTTTTCTCACAAAACCTTTATGTTTTCCCTCTTAATATGGGTCAATCATTCTGTGGTAGAAGAAACATTCTGCATCTACTTAAGTAGCAAGACACTAAGCTGTTCTGGCCAATGCCAGACCACGTTCCATCGCTGAAATAAAGAAAACTGTTGGCCTCAAAGCAAAGCATGCAAGCGGGACATCAAACTGTATATTATCAAAGATAGTACAAGACAAGATGGGCCACTTCTCTCTTTGAGACAATTAAAAAAGTGTCCTCAAAATTTGGTGGCGCCCTCTTCACAAAAGCGCACTCTTTGCGAACAGAGTTATCCTACTTGAGTTTTACAAAATCAAAGTGAAACTAGCAAGTTTTGGGATAAATTTCGGAAGAACGCTTTTTAAAAATGGTTACGCTGACAAAAAAACCTCTTCCGGAGGAAAAGGAGATGGTTTTCTTCGTTTAATTTGACCTTAGAATGAAGGGCGAGAGGTCATTAAAATATAAAAAAAACCCTTAAACTCCGCACTGAACGTACCCGAACTGCTGATGAACAGCAGTCGATCTGCGCACGCAAGGAGGTGCTATTCCTATTCTTCTTCTGGAAAAACGAAAGAGAGCTTCAAAACAGACTGCAGCGCCATCTGAAGCAAAGAGCATACTTCCTGCGGACACTTTTTTGGCTGAGTGGCCCATCTTGTTATTCACTATCTTTGATATTATATAAACAAACATACTAAAAACCAGCACACGCCATGTCATAGCAAGGACTGGTAGAACCACAAGCCATAGCGAGAATAAAATAATTATATGCTTTCAAGACACTCAAAAGAACAAACACAACAGACAGGACAAGAGCGCTGCAGTGATGCTATTGGCAAACACCAAATACATTTAAATACGTAAATATAAAAAAATTCTTAAAATTTCTAACAACGTAACATGCAAGCTTTCAGAAAGGCAAATTTGAGTGGCTGGAGTAAATGTCCATTTGAAATAAAAGACAAGGATAAAATAAAAGATTGAACTCAAGGATATTTTGCTTTTTTCCCTCCCTGGTTGTCTAAATAGTTTCCGTTATTTATGATCACAAAAATTATACTTAACAAGAACTCCACTCTAAAACATATTTATGAACTTTACAAGCCTCAGGCACTGTTCACTAAAGATTAAAGAAATGTTCCAATTTGCTCTACCGGCTCGACAATATTAAGTCAATAACACAAAGACATGCATGGCAAAAGCCATACGTATCAATAGCTGCTGCCATGCTCAGGTATTTGAACAAGGGAAGCAACTCACTCAGGGTTTCAAAAAAAAAGGGGGGGAGGGGGGGGGACCTTTGTGACAAAATCGACTACATACAGAATGATCCACCCCCCCCCCCGAAACCCCCCCCCCAACCAAACCTGCACAACTTTTTAAAAAATTATTTTCCTCCACAATGAAGTTTCGAGTTTCAAATTTGTACACAACATTTGAAAGTCAAAAGGAATTTGTCTTACATTAATTTTAGATAAACCGCAGAATAGTTTTGCTCTACATAGCGCTTTAAAAAAGGAACCAATTTTCAGTTATGTCCCCATTTTTGCAGCATGACGCACTAGTTCGCAGTCCTAACCGTTGCACCATATTGCAAACTACATTATTCTAACAGGCCAACAGAAGTTTGCAGATAGTCTTTTTTCAAATTTCCTTTGCCTGTTGAGATCGTGGTTAAGATTAGTAAAGAGCAGAGAGCTTTTTGTATTGAACATTTCCTCACCACCAACTCATTTCGTACGTTTGGCACAAGGTACGGAAATAATGTTAAAGTGCTCTTAAGGCCTCCTTTGATGTAAAGGGTGAAAATGGTCCATCTATTAGGACCTGTAGAGAATCAGAACTGAAAATTCCCAGATAAATGACCACTACAGGTCAAGCACACACACACACACACACACACACACACACACCGTTTGCACACCTTTAAACGTCACCAGGGTGCAGAATTCAGTAGATGAGCCCC